TAACTATAAATTTATCAACCATTTTGTATATTACACATGATATACGTTATGCGGCCTTTTTCAAAAAATATAATTTTATGGAAAAAGCACATTTTCTGCAGTAGAAACATATGGTTGCACTTACGTAAAACCATTTAGCAGAACAAATGTTAACAATTATAATTTCAGTCATGCGAACAAACTGCACAAACTGCACCGGCATTTGTGAGTCACTGGAACTACAAATAATGGTAGCCACAGCTGGTTAGAAACTTTCGAGTATTGCATGACCTTGAATAGAAACGCAACGAGATATTGTCAATGCTGCTTTCAATTTAAGATATATACATAGAAGTAAAACCGATATAGTAAACAATATATCGATCCAAAGTTAATCGGCGAAAGTAACTTTGCGCTAAAATAAGAGAAACTCGAATCAATCTACTCAATATCTGAGAAAATAATGAACAAATCATTAAAAAAATGTAAATTGAAGTTTATAGAAAGTAGATACCAAAATAATATAATGAAATTATATGTGGATAAAACGTAGCTATATTTTCATAGCGTTTCTTTAATAAATATATTAAATCGAAAATTTACTTCACGTCGCAAACATTCTTATTCTTCGATTAGAGAAAGAGGTAATAAAAATTTTGACAAACTCGCCCGAACAGAAATGTATACGGCTGGAAGAAGCGGGCACACATAAATAGTGAAGTGGAGACAAAAAGGCGGGATTTTTCTTTATGAAATATCCGGTCGATAGATAATCTTCGGGCAAAACTAGGAAGTGGACGTTCAATTTCGTAAATGGCCGCGACGGAATCGCGACGATCGTAAATTGTCCGGGTCTTATCGCGCGATTGCCAGTCCGCTAACTCCTTGATCCTGATACGCCATGGACGAATCAAAAGGACGATTCGCGTATCGTCATCTCGTCTATCGGAGACCGGAACCGGAAGCGGCCGGGCATGAATAATACGCGCAAACGATCGTGTTCGCGCAAGCGATACGGACTGCGCATTAGGCACGACCTGTTACGCAATCCACGACAAAGAGCGACATTGGTGACAATCATTGAATTACCTGCGACTGCAGGCGACCATCCGCAGTTTCGTAGGATCGCAGGCCAAGCGAAGTATTTGCTCAGTTTTTCGCGCGATGTCGTATACAAACGAAGTCGCGCATACAAACGTCAAACGATGTCGCGCGTGAAATAAGAATGATTGATCGAATACGAGCTGTAGAATATTTATTTAATTGTGTTAGCGATATACATATACATACATATAATTGTCGATATCTAAATTATTAAAAAAAATTATCGCGAAAAGTAAGTGCTAATGCTATTTAATGTGACACTGCATCTGTCGTGATAAAAAAAGATTTTGCTAAATATGTTTTATCATTGCGATATTTTTTCCAAAATCTAATAGTGATTAATTAATAATATAATATAGTGATATAATTTAAAATATTGATAGATATTCCTGATATAATGACGAAAAGGAGAAAAATTCTTTTTATGACAATAGTGAAATCAAGTTGAATAACGAAAGATTACGTTATTAAGGAACGCATTCTTCCGGCATAGAAAATCGCACTCTCTCTCTCTCTCTCTCTCTCTCTCTCTCTCTCTCTCTCTCTCTCTCTCTCTGTTATACCGGTTTCAATTTTTGTTCTAAAGTTCTCTATCGCTCTCGTGATCTGTAGATAATTGGTGCTAACGCGCTAATTTAATTTGCTTGACTGCCGCGACGAAGTGACTCGGCAAAAGTCGCGTTAATGCGGCTATTGTTTTTCCTCGCACGAGGAAATTTCTATTCAATTTAAAGGAATTAAATAAAATATACGCGAGAGCAAATGTTCCTTCTTTCTTTCAAATCTCACCGTATAAAATAAAATTTGATTAAGCAACAAATAACGAAATTAGTTTCTAAAGTTATAAACACAAGTTATAGTTATTATGCATTATGCGCTGTTTAATTTTATTCTCCACATCAGACTTTAGAGGCCTCTAGAGTGCTGTCGAAACTTTCGAGAGAACGTCATATATTTGCACATGTCGTGTTCAGGAGAAACAATGTTCACGCTATATTTCCCACATGACTTACGTGTTATTCTATATGTCTAAATCGCACGATATTAATTTCGAAATATTGGTATCGCAATCACGATCTTAGTTTCGAACAAACGATAGCGACGCGTTAAGTTTGCGCGCAAAATTTTATTCGGTTAAATTCGAACATTTGTCGGGAAAATTAAGCGATCGCGATCTTTTATTCCGATAAAGCTTGACCGACGATATCTAGGTTGGTGCATATAATTAACTCGTTGCTCTCTGGCGCGTCCGGAGATGACCCACTCGCGGGAAAACGGTCATACACTCTAAATACATCGTGGTCGCAAACGCTTTTAACTCTTTATCCGAAAGGTATATCAGAGACAGTTTCGGACATTTTTGATCTAATATATTACCCGCAGGATATTCCTAAGTATTTCACGCTCTCTTTTACATAATCACTTTGACCTTTTCGGAGCAGAAATAAATCCGAAAATTCAAAAATATTTTTAAGAGAACTTTAAAGTTGCAAGCAATTAAATATTTAAAATTTATATAATTAAGCTTTGATAACATAAGATTTTTAGTTTTTGTTTATTTTTGAATTGGTTGTAAATAAATTTGAATATATCAAATAAATTATGGAAGATTATGAATTAGTATCCAATATTATTGACAGCGCTCGATAAATTTGTAAATAAATGTAAAATTCTTGAAATTGTTATTGTGTTCGAAAACAATACTCTTCTCGATTTTTGTTTACTTTGATGTAAACAGCTTTGACCCGATCGAAAGAGAACATCGGAAGGACCGTGCAAAATATTAGTTTACGGAAGTGACTCGCGCCACAAACACAAGTGAATCATCATGCGAGAAAGCCGCGGTTAACCTGAAGTCTCTCGTGGATGTCCGTTCAGAAACGCGAGCGCGACAGCGGCTTAAGACGCGAAAATAGTCTCCGTGGCCGGTGTTGCTCATCGTCGTCGTCGTCGTCGTCGTCGTCGTCGTCGTCGTCGTTGATGATACCCGAACGAACGCGTTTAGTCTCGAACTGGAAGCAATCGCGAGAAGAACGAGTAGTAGCGCAACGTACTTGGAGTTGACCTTAGGAACGCGTAAGGAAATAATTTCGGAGGAAAACAAAAACAAGACGGTATAACGTGAATCAGGAAGACTTCAGATTTTGACACGAAGGAACTGACAAAGCGCGTCTCGTTACTCAATAGAAACAAATAAGCAACCACAACAAGGAGAGGAGACGTGCGGATGAATCTGACGGAAGAAACGATTGGATTGTAAGAAGGAAGCATTTGTGTCTATTAAAAAAAATTAATAAATAGTATTATAAAACTTAAAACTCTGAGGTGAATTATTATTTAAAAATTTTTAGTATCGAATTATCAATGAACAATGATCATTACGTGTAATTTATATAATGAATTGCTTAAGTAGTGCACTATTATTTAAGAAATAGTTTCCTCTTTTAGTTATTGTGCAGATAGTTAAAGTTTATAAGTATTTCACATTAAAAAAAGGTATTTTAAATTAATTTTGTTTCTAAATATATTGCAAAATATGTACCAAAATAATATATCATAGAATTGATTTGAAAAGTACGCTCACAATCAGTATCGTTGATATAATTTAACTATTTCATTTGCATATCTTTTTAATTTAATTTAACTTATTTTTTATTGTTTTACACATAAAATTCATTTATTCTACAGTATATGATCATACTTTATAATGCAACATTATGATGCAATGACAATAAATTGTAAAATAATAATACTTGGAAATATAAATGTGGAGAAAGATTTAGGGAGTAATTTCTGCGCATACACGTGTTGTGAATTATATCTCTCATCTTTTATACGATACGTATGAAAGATCGGCAATATCGCGTGTTAAATTGGATTTCTGTAACAAGCTTCTTGCACAATTTCTTAAACGAGATCGCAGCAATCGAGGCAAACATTAAACGACAGATAATTACACTTCAATCAAAAACGCTGCTCCAGAATCTTGAGTTTGGTGATCATTCCGCGATGCCATTATCGAAAACTGTTAATTCACTCGATCGAAGAGCTTAAATGTTTTGTGATACATGCTGTTACAGCTTGAGAGTTAATAAATGAATTTTTAATATAATTTTAAGGACGTTTACCGCGCAAAATGCAAATGCACGAAAACGCAGGAAATTACGAAAATGCAGGTACCATGACGAAAAAATAGAAGATAAAAGACTCGACGCGTTGAGCAATCACATTATGATAATTCAGACACTATCCAGAGCAGTCGCTATTGTAAATATAAACATTCGGAACTTTCTAACAGATTCTGAAGTCTTTATTTCAAATTCGACGACGATTCTAAAAAATGCGAACATTACATTTTGATAGAATGCAGAATGACATGTTTGATTTTTTAATGTGATACAAATACGATTGAATTATTTATATTGAAAAGCTACAGCTTGTAATAAATTGCAAATATTTTTCAGCGAAATTTTAAAAAATTAGACTTACAATGATTTAAATACAGAAGCGTATTGTTTATATTGAAGCCACAGTTGATTATTTTTGTATGTGCGTACATACATGTTCAAATGTTATAATACAATATGATTTCTAATTAATATACATTCGTAATGGTATTGACAAGTTGTAATGTATGATTTGCCAAACTAACGTTTATTTTTGTCGATGTTTTTACTAAAGCGAAACTATGTTACTCTATGTAACGAATACAATTATTGGATTCATTCATTGAATCCTTAAGAAATCTGATAATTGATCTCACTAAGTAGACCTTGAAGTACTTTATTTCATCTAAATAGCTCTTTCAGACATCTAACTACCTCTTTCAGCTCTTTAAGTCTACTATATTTGCACTACTTGCATTATTAAAATACATCGATATCCATTAAATAATTTCGATTTTTTTTATGTTACAGCTGGATTCGTCGCATTCGTCCGACGACTGTCGCAGAATCTCTGGAAGAGTTCAAGATTTCAGGGACAAAGAAAAACGTTCTCGTTTTAGCGCGAGAGAGAAAGAGAGATAGACAAAAATAAGTTGACAATACGATGGAAACGAAAAGAATCCATCGATCGACAATAGAAATCTTCGAGAAGAACGGACCTCGATCGGGCGAATTGCCGATCGCGTTGATGCATAGAGCGAAAATAAGCGATCTCCTGGCGAGGCAGACGATGGCCTGGTGCCGGCAAACGTTGCAAACGTTTCCCATACGAATGACGTTGAACAACGTCGGATTGTTGACGGTGTTCCTAGCGATAGTGTCGCCACGATCCCTTATTTACAGCCTTATTTATCCGATTTTCAGATTAGTTTTTGGCACCCTCTACCCGGCATACGCTTCCTACAAGGCGGTGCGCACGAAGAATGTCAAGGAATATGTAAGCGAGAAACATATATAATAAGTAGCTTTTACAAATGCGGTTTTAACCTTTAAACCCAACATCCTGGATGTACTTAATTAAAAGTAAACTTTGAAACTTTAAGCTATATATATTATTATAATTTTTTCCTTTCGACATTATGCGATGAAAATAATGGTTTGGTTAAAATTCATATAAACTATAAAGTTACAAATATATACCTATATATAATTTCGATGGATTCTTTTTTAAATGACAATTAAATCTTATAGATTATGATTTAATATTCCAATTAAGTGGACTTAAAAATATTAAAAATTTTTTAAAATTTTTCATAAAATGCAAATGCTATTTTAGATTCTCTTCACACAATAAATTTTCATAGAGTTTTACGTAATTTACGTTATGTAAATTTTATACACCAAATTATTATAAATTAATCATTTGCCTACAGAAAATGTGTATTTATATTCAGAAATATTAATAATCGGAAATTTTTTAACATTAACCTTTTGCTTGTGAACCTAATGAAGTCAAAACTGTTTTACATTGCTATGTAACTGACATCATAAATATTTTGTATTTAATACAGTCTGCATGGAAGAAATATAAGTAATAATATAAAGCCTGATTTTTAATTTAATTATATTTTAAATCTTTTATATAAATTTAGTATTTTTTTATTTATTTTTTTCTTTGTCATTTTAATTCTATGTGTAACAATTTATTAATTGTAAAAGAGGATAAATCGAGAATACATTTCTCTGCTGTTTTTGCAATAATCCATCGCTCTGCAATCTCTCTGGTTTCAGGTCAAATGGATGATGTACTGGATCGTGTTCGCGCTATTCACGTGCGCAGAAACTTTTACTGATGTCTTCTTTAGTTTTTGGTGAGATTACTATTATATTACTATTACACATTTATCACTTACACTTTTACAAATAACATATTTTTTGTATGATTTATCTAAATAATTATTTAAGTAATATTTTTATATTTGGATGACAAAATCGGATAAAATTATTCGTGTGCATTATTATTGATTTATCTAACAATAAGTATGATAATTGAAATATCTATGGAAAATGAGAATCGTAATATTGCGCATTTATTAACATTTCCGCTGTGTAATTTCATTGAAAGTGATTATCAAAATAGTCCTCGCTGCATTATCTCTTTTAATCCATTTATCTATCAGTATAATACATTAATCCATCTTCCTGCTCGTAGAACTTAATCCAATTTTTTGCAATTATTTATTTTTTATTATTTCTTTTGCATCAGCTTATATATGCATTATACATTTATATTTTTGATTAATTTATAGTAAATTCTTTTATATATAAACAAGTTTAATAATAATAGATTAATTAAGAATATGCAATATCAGAAATTAAAATTTTATTTTGAAGAAGAAAATTTGCAAGATATGTTTAAAAAGAAAAATAGCAAACATTTGTTCCATTATTTAATTTATTTAAAATATCAATTTTAAGTCTCAATATTTGTGGATTGTTCACTTGCTTTTGATTCATATATCAAACGTAATTTGGAGAGAGGAGTCTATAATAATATCAAGAGCTTGCAATTTACGAATTATCCGAATCTTCTATTGTAAGAAAGTTAATTCTTTAAAGAGTACCGAAGATAAAAGAAAGTGCATGAAAGCTGAGACGCTATAGAAAAGAGCAACGCGTCGATTTGACAGCGACCGTGTGTACGTAGCATAATACAGCGGATATTGAGATGAATCTTGGAGTCGCGGCGCGAGGGCAAGTAAGGGGCCAATAAACCAAGCCAGCTGCGAACCGCGCGGTCTGAAAGCCGTGCTCTCACCGCGCGGAATTCCGAAAGTCTAATTTCGGATGAGATAGATATTGGCTTACATGCACTTCTGAGGATTCTGCCCGAGCTTCTTCCCTCTCTCGCCTCCCCCTTGTCGTTCCTCTCTGTATCTTCTTGTCCTTCTTTCTCATTATATTTCCTTCCTCGTTGGAGAGCATCGTGCCAGATTTCCCTTCATACTCGGATTACAACCAAAAAGGAAACTAGTACATACTTCTGGCGTCGAAATGTCAGATTACCCTCTCAGTGTGTATTTGCGCTTTTCTCCAAGCCGCTCTCACTTTCACACTCGTGACGAATTTTTCGTAGCGCGAATCGAATCGAGTAGATTACAGACGCGTAATAATACGCTGTATACAATCGGTTATTTTATCAGCATTATTACGTAAAAATACGACAATTTACTAGAAAAGAAAGCTGTCAAACTGACGCCTTCAATATTTTTATTTGTTTTTTCTGATTTGATAAATTTTTTAATTTCTTTATTATATAACTGTATATATTTTATAAAATATTTTCTACACAAATATTCCTATAATAATTATGCAATTAATATTATTAATATTAGAAGAGAGACAAATAAAATAGAATAAGAGAGAAAGAAAGAGAAAAGTCGCATCGGCACGGCGCTGTGACATTTGACACGTGTCTCGACGTCTGTTACGTAGGTTCCCATTTTATTATGAGATTAAAATCATCTTGGTACTGTGGCTGCTGAGCCCGGCTACCAAGGGCTCCAGCATCCTTTACCGACGCTTCGTGCATCCCGCGTTAATCCGTCGTGAAGCCGAGATCGACGAAGCCATAGCACGCGCAACTGAGCAGGGTTACACGGCGGTGTTGCATCTTGGTACCAAGGGAGTGAACTATGCCACCACGGTCCTTATGCAGACCGCTATTAAGGTAAGACCCTACCTTAATTAAAGAAAGTATATCGTTATCCTAGGATGTTCAGAAATTATCATTCTTCTTTTATTGGAGATTCTTCGATTAATGTCACATCGAGTTCGAAAAATCAAATAAAATGATAATTTATAGAACATCCTTATACACGTAGATGTAAGAATAGCTGGCAGCTTTTAAGGAAGAATTTCGCTTTGAAAATTTATTCCTCAATTTTACATTTAAATTAGAATATAGAATTTAATTATACATATATAGAATATAGAATAAAATTTATATATGAAACCTTGTATTGTGGGGAAAAAGGCTGCCAGAAATGTTTTACCTTGTTTGATCACGTATTTTAACCAGCTTGAATTCTCGCTTTCATTTATCATGCATAAAACTTGTATCGATTGACCCGTCCTCGATTGTTTCGCCCACTAATGATTTTACGTGTTTTTGATTTTTTCTGTTTTCGTTCTCTGTCCCGTCCGCATTCCCGCACGTCGCCGCATCGCCGTCTTACTGCCTAATCAAAAAATTGAAACAAACAAACCGACCATCGCCATCCGCAAAACCATGCACGACAAAACATCGAGCACATTAACCACCGCCCGATCAACGTCTTAACTACTGTCATTGCTTGTCAAATCGTCTCGTCAACTACACGATAAAATTCTGCCACTGACCCATAACAACAACAATAATCATCAACACGCCGATTATTGCTGACCGATTGAAATGCAAAAAAAAAAAATAATAAACAAAATATGATATCGGCGTCACACGATAGAATCTCCCGATCGTATTCCCGAACACGACGAGTGCACTCCCCGACCGCCAATCAGACCCGGCGATTTCTAGCTTAGCCAACCCCAGAACAACGACCCGGTTAAACAACCAGCAGCTGGACGGGCCGGATTGTCTGGACGGCAATGCGATCTGCAATCAACATACTAAGTCCGATGATCTCGTGATGGGCGACACAGACGCAGTTTCCATCGACTGGCAGCTTCGCGATTCGGATGACGACGAGGAGATAATACAGGAACTACCGACGACGGACATCGAGTACGAGCTGCCGGACGAGGAACCACCGATATTCAAATTGCCCGAGAAGGAAGCGCCGCGAAAAACACGGAAGTCGAGGAAGGATCGCGGCCGAAGTGCCGAAGCCACCAGACGTCAGAAGAATCGTGCCTGCAAGTCGAAGAGTTATGACATAGATTTTAGCGACGACGCCGAGGTCAATTAATCCGAGAGACGGATGATACCATATAAAGATGGAAAGAGGATAAATCACTGAAAGCCTGAAAAGCGGACCGATGGATCAATAATATTGAGAAGTATCGGCGATTTTGTCAAAGACAAATGAAAGGATGCAGCTGATTTGTATTTGTATTTAGTAAGATAAGTAAAGAGAGACTCTCGATTACGCACGAAAGAGTGCTTTGAGGACCGATGACAGAATTTTCTACACATTGTATGCATTGATATTTTTTTCACGCGCTTTCATCTATCACAAATTTTTTTTTCTTTTTTTAGACTTTTTATGCGCGAATTCACGAAGCGAAATTTTTTGTTCGCGATATCACGAGAAATTTTCATTAAGTAGTACGAATAATATCTTCTGTCTATTACCTCCGTAAATAAAATTTACATTGTGTGTGATTGTGTTCAACTATATGGGCAATATATAATAGTGATGAAAAGATTGATATTGATATATTGATAAGATAAGAGGCATAAGAAACGTAGATTTTATATAATCTCGTATTCTTTGTTTTAAAGATGTGAGAACTTTACAACTTTAATCTTCTTATAACGAATATGATCTGGATAATTTCTAATTGTATACATATTTTGACAAAAATAAGACTCGTCTTAGTCATTTTCATTCACTTGAATGCCTTATTTTATATATATTAGGTGTTTTTTTTCACGTGAACTTTATTGAATTCTGGAAATCGTAAGAAATATGTATCTAATCGTCTTATATATTTAGAACGTAAAGTAATATTGTTAGTGAAATCATAATAAAATTTTAATATTTTTATATAATATTGCGTACATCACGTTGATATTAATAATGTCAATTATTAAAGCACGCAATGTTAATACAGGTTTAAGGATAACGATCAAAGCACAGAGATCGGATTATATAAGAGAAGTTCGAGAAAAAAAGTATTGTTCAAAAATTCTATGTAATTATAATACAAGAGTCAATTTTTCATATCATTGTCGTTTATCATCTCTTGCAATTTATATAATGTGCATAACGAATAAATTTAATAATGCCATTAGGACGATTAACCAGCGATTGCACCAACGTTAGTTAATGTTGATTAAATTTTTTTTTTCTAATTCTCTTCAATGTAGATAATAATAGGTTTATCGAATAACGATAACGTACAACCAGATGAACGAGATTGTGTGCTACAGCATAGTCATCATTGTTATCATTGTCATCGTAATTAGATAGTTATTTGCGTATTTGTATATTCGTTTGTGCGTTTCATCTATAAAATTACTGATAAACATGGATCTACGTTATATTGCACGTGTATTCCCGCGATATACACGTACGTGGGAAAAAAGCAGCAATAAAACTTATGCGTTGTCCACAAATGGATGATGGACGTGTCCTATCACTTCAGATAGGCTAGTCTGATAAAAACGTCCGTCGCTGTTTGGTTTATAGTTTCTAGAGACGCATAAACTTAAAAAATAAAACACGTGTAACTTTTTGCGATGTCATAAAAATTAAATTACTTTTGTACGTATTATACATTATAGTCGCACGTAATTGTTTATCCCGTAGGGCAACTACGATTTTAGCGACTGCCATGAATGCTTTAACTGTAACATGTGTATGTTACGTCTACTTCAGGTCGCGTGAACTGAAGGAATCGATACGGGAAAAGCGAGTTCAGGTTTTGTCTTTGCGGCAACAAAGACAATTTCTGGCCCTGCAAACGTCCAGTGCCTTCTTATGCTGTGGTTTTTCTACACGCGAACTCTTGCAATGTCGAGAGCTGTCTTAGCGAGTAAGAGATTTTTGTACCCGATCCCAAAGATTTCGATTATTATGAGTTGGTTTTTTTTCAAATAAAAGCATTATTGGATGAGAGCCTTCGATTCTCCGTTTCTATTGTGAACATCTCGTCGCAATCACCGCGTCCTCCATCCTTTACTTGCCTCTTACTGTATCTCGCGAACAGAGAGATTTAATTATAAGGATTAATATTCTCTTTTATCAAGTAGCACATCTGTTTCAAAAATATAAGTTTACGTTAACGAAACTAATCGCTTGTAAGCATTTTATAAACGCGATTATTTAATGCAGTACTATACCGTCAACTATCGTATGCTTTTGAACAACGCATGTTTAACAGAACGATAAATACAAAAGTAAAATACAAGTGTCTCGATATGGAAAAAGCAAGAAATCGCTTTTGGATTGTCGAAATCCGGCGTAAGGGGAGTTTGCCTTCGTGACCGGTGACGGCAGATAACACATTAACATTCTTTTGGTTGGTAAGATTTTTATTTGGTTTTTTTTCACTTAATCATTCAAAATATTTCGATGACTCGATTCATTTTTTTTTTGCAGTAGGTAGGTAATACGTTGGCTGTCTCATCTCTGCGAAACGAGAGAGATGTTTCACGAGCGATTTCCTTTTCCAGGGCGGCGGCGGACTGGTGCAACAATTGAGAAAAAGTTACAGCCTCAGTGATCTAACCGGCGAAAAGGAGGACGAAAATAGAAACACACCCGACGCGCGTGACGAGACAGACATGCAAGGTAGCTGATTTCTAGTATCGTACAAATACATTACATTTAAGAAAGAAAAACATGTTTGATCGCAAAAATTGTCAAACATCTGCTTTTTCCATCTTGACGCGCTATTTATCTGAAGCAGAGATCTAGATCAAATATTATTGATTTAATATATATAACAGAGAAAAGAAAGTATAGAAATCTCGAAAGCAGTCGCCCGGCAGTCGTCTCGGGAATCGAACCCCGATTCGGCGACTTTCCCGCTATTTTTCGATCTATATTTTTCATTTTTTTTAGGGAAATAGGGGATATAGGGGAATAAATTAAAAATCTCTTGTAGAGATTATTCCAATTTTAATATAGGCCCCAAGTAAAGAAGTCGCCCAAGTGCCTTCGTGCACAGGTATTTAATTCTAACGAAAAATTTATAGTTTCGTTTAGAATACGCACGCGCGATTTGGCTCTTATTGCCTATCTTATATATGTTAAATTTATATTTATATTACAGAGCCTAGTTAAACTCTTAATTATTGATTTAATTAATCGAATTGAAAAATCGAGACAAGGTATATTTCAAAATATATATCAAGTATTATTTTAAAATAAATTTCTGTGATCACTATAGTAGAACCTCGTCGAAGAGAGCATACAGGAAGAAGGGGTTACAGCCCTCGCAGAACCCAGTCCAGCAGCAACGCGTCTCGAGTGGACATGTATTTTTCCGAAGTGGATGTCGACGTTCGACAACCAAGGCCTAGGGAACCCATAGCTAGTTTAACGTGCGTAATATATTAATTAAAAAATGTATATGACATTATTTGTGTGAATATCAGTGATAACAAATCTTTCCTACGCTCGTAGAAATATAAGGTCTTCGGACGACATATCTAGCGGTTACAGTAGCGGTGAGGCTCTGCAGTCTCAGCGCATTACTTCTCAGGTTGACTCCTTAGTAAGAACGTCGAGCGTCGGCGCGAGAACGCGCGTGAAGCCTCGTTCCACCACGAAGAAGACACCAGAAGTAAGCCGATAAAATGTACCTTAGAGATTAATAATTGTATCATATTGCACCGATTATTGCGAAATGAAAAGAATCACGGATCATTCTTCGACACGCACACATTCGTCAACTCAGTTAATGATACGTACTTTTTTTGTGGTCTTTGAAGGACAGGGACGAGGATTTCAACCGCATCGACCTTCCATCTCCTGAAAATGTCTCCCTCCCGTCGTCACTGAATGTTCTCACTCCCGAACAAGCTGTCGAGCTTCTGCTATTGTTTTCTCAGAGTAAGAAATTTCAAAATCGCCCGATACTTGAATCCATGTCTTGTATCGATGAATCCGCGAACGAAAATCGATCCACGACGAAAATAGAAGAATACAGCGAATCGTCATCGACAGAGTCGAGTAATGAATTCGTAGACACAAACACGGCTCAAGTAGACTTACAAACGGTGCAAACTATAGAAATCGAGAATATCTCAATGGAAAAGCTATCGATACCTGCAGTGGCAGAAAGCGCAGATGAAATAAACGTCAATAATTCGATAAAAGAACTTGATTTTCAGCAGGCTGAATCTAATGTACAAATTGAACATATTAATAAAGATTCGAGAGATAGTCAGGTAGACTCTTCCCGAAACCCCGATATTGGTGCCGATATTGAACGAGTAAATAGCGAAATATGTCAAGAAAAGTTCATTGAGCTGAAGGAATTGTTAGACGATGCGCATAAAGTTGCGAGAAGCATCGTATCTTCTCAAGAAAAATTGAACACGATCGACAAAGGTAAAGAACAGAACGTTAGTGTACCAGAAATGAAAGCTGATGATTCTTCGAGCAAAGAAGATTGCGATACTACGATCCAGCGTTCTGTTACGCCGATTTCATCGAGTTGCAATCTTGATGGCGATAATCGCGCAGGTAAATATCATAAAAAACCTGCTCCAAAAGCTCCAATAGAATCTTCAACTGAAACAATAATAAATGATGAAGCTTCAACTGAAACAATAATAAATAATGAAGACACCGACGAAGATATGTCTCAGAACGCCCTGAAAGCTACTTTGGTTATTAAAACTGGAACGGTAAGAACTATTTCAAATGCGGATGCTACGAAAGATATTTTCTTAGCGCATACGACGGATATGAAAAAGAAGAAGAAGAAATCCAATAGATCACGCGCTAAAGAGAGTTTTTCCAAATTATTAACAATCCCGAAGAATATCTTTCACAACGCTTTCCACAAGGAACAAAGCGAAACTTCTTCTAAAGAGGATGATTCCAGTTCCACGTTGTCCGAGACCAGTGAATCAGCATCAAGATCGGGTAGTATTGGATCCCAGATGTTCGTGGACGCATCCGCCAAATTATCAACTTCAATTTCTGCTGAAAAATTGGATACTTTTATCGTACCGTTGAATGAAACAGATCTCAATAAAATTGAACCTAATGAGACTGTAGACGATGCAAGAAATATGAAGAATTTTGAAAATTATGAAAAGAATCTTGAAACTAAATCAAACTTGAAGATTCGCGAGATATCTCAGTCGCTGCCTTGCAGCGGCAAAAAAGAGATTATCACCGATATTAATTAAAGTCATTTCATAGAAATTATTTAATCGCATAATTACATTATATTTATTTTTACTAAAGTATAAGAAAAAAAGCTTGTTCCTCCTGCTCTCTCCCATTTTCCTACATTTCTTAGATATTTTATCCTAATCGGAAATCCGGACAGAAGAAATGGACTGATCCATTAAGATCGTATGAATTAGTTTCTGAGTGTCTCTTGTTAATCCAATATAATTAACTCCATTTTCATTAATCATAACATGTAGCATTGCATGATATTAATTCTTGTAATTCTAATGCAACTAATCCGTAACTCTTCCAAATCACACACAATTTATTTAGTTTACTCGTTTTTATTTGGTTTATCGGAAATCTCCATTTCTCATATTTAAACTATTTTATGATTAACTTAATAGTAACATAGATGATGCATATCAAACTAAATTTCAATCTAAACTTTTAAACTATTAAAATTTTTTAAAAGATAATCTTGTGCTCCTCTTTTTTTTTACCAACTACTGATTAATTTCTATGGAAACATGAAAACAATGACAAGAGGGATTGACAATATACCAATTTTCAATTCCATAATAAAAATAATAAAACAATATTTTCATATATTTCAGATTACGAGTTTCGCTACCTTGCCTCGCAGTAAGAAGACCAGTAAGAAGAAGGTGGCATGAAACTTACCCGCTGCTGACCGCATAAAGGAATAAGACCAAGTCTCTTTTGTAATAGAAGCAAAGTATCTTCATCCGCGTGCGAATCTAATTTTGCACGGAGCCAGGTATAACAGGCAGATATGCTATTGGTCAGCAGCTACTATCGATTAGCCGAAACACGTGATGTATACAACTAAGCGTCTCTAGCACCGATATTTCTTAATTTAACTTTTTAATCATTAATTTATATTTTATCGATCGCGCGCGTTAATATTTATATTACTTTAAAGTGAAACTCAATCTTTTCCAAAATTATTTGCGACGAGCTTACTGGATATACGCAAGAGATAAGGAGAAATTCCGTTTTATCGTATTTCTCCGGGAAACATGTGCATAAATAATACATATTTGTATCGATCATATGTTACACCGTTGCTCACAGTCATCCGAAATGTTGTACACATTAATAATATCTTGGATAATTTCCCATATGTATTTTAAACTCTCTCTGGAGAAAGAGAGAGAGAGAGTGAGTTCAGTCTAGCTTTTATATGCTAACGTTTGGTAGTGCTGTTAATAGTAAGGAGGACTTGATACATATTGCACGCAGTATATCTGCTTTAAGAATAAGCTTTGTTTATTATAACGTAACGAAACTTGCCATACCTGCGCGGTGTAGCTGAATGACGTAGAAGAGTTCTCGTTACCTAAACGGAGAATCAACGGAAGGTTGATTCCCCGGCAAGATGATACAAGCGTCACGTACAATAAGGGAAACTCTACATCCTGCGAAACTATGTAGAACGATGACTTTGATATTGCAAACGCTACTGTAACTCGAACAAACTTTGAGCCTAGTCAATAGAAAAATGTGAATATAGAAACTCAGGCCATACTGAAATAGTGCCACGCGAAATTACCTAAACCCTCCCTTTTACCCCTTCCTCTTCCTCCCCTTGCCCTTCGTAATCTCCTTTTCGTTATCAAATAATAACGTTTGATGGACTGTGTCTAATTACGATTGCGTATACAGAGTATCGTGTGAATATATAATTAAATTAGCTATTCTTCCCTTTACGGAATCTGAAGTTCGAGAAATCGCACGAGTTTCTTAAAAACTCTAGGCAACTATATGCGATCCTGTTTAAGGACCAACATTTTTTGTCTACTAAATTGTGACAAATTGTTAAGGATATTGTTAACATTTCGTGAAGTCGTTTTCAATTTTTGCACACTTCGATAATTCGAGGACAAAAAGATACTAACGTACACTTTGATAGTGAGTATTTTACAACGCTAACTATATATACAAGTATACTTAGTTTCAATTTTGTTGCGTTCATAATTTAAGGTACATCTTGTGTGTGTGTATGTATTTACACCTTACTCAAGTATTTATTTAAGTATTTACTCTAATTTCGGATTATAATTACGTTTGTCGTATCGATATGTTTTCATTACAGCGAATTATTTTCCATCGTACGCCCATGAAAGACTTACGCACAAGTGCTATTGATGACTATTTCGACTTAATTATATGTATTAACAAGATTCGTATATATATATATAAATATATAATTTATTGTATTGTACTTTAACGTTCATTGCATATCTTAGGAAAAATTAACATATTATGTAATTAATGTAAATTAGGAAAAAAAGGAAAATGCGAGAGACGCGGCGTTAATTTATTAGTTAAAAAAAACTCGATAAGAGTAAAATACTCGATTTGTTAATCGATTAACGATTGTTAATTTTGCGTATATGTGTATGTTGTACGCGAGGTTTGCAAACAATTAATCGAGAAAGAAAAATGTAGCAAATGCTCTTAACTCGCTTCGCGGAGTATAAATAAATCGTGTAAATACGATCGACAAAAAAAGTGTAGAATAATATATCATTATATAATACAAATCAATACACAAAGTAGATATTTTTATGCAATCCAGATATTTGCTCGAATTTGAAATACATTATACGCATTTGCTGCATTTTATCTGCATCTTTTAACGACTCGTTGAGAAACGTTAATACGTATTCGTCTCGGACTTTATATATGCGAGCATATGTGATAAGAAGGCGAGTGTATGAAAGAGTAAGAGAAAATGCTCAATTATGAATCTTTACCGGTATTATTAACAAAAACAAAACGGTCGGTTTCCTAGATCTGATAGGTATATACATATATCTCTTGTTCTTTATAAGTATTTACGCCTCCGGCGCATAAATTGTGTGTCCCGAGTTCTATTATGGTGCTGCGATCTTTGTAATTTGTTTTATAGTTAATATGTATCTCGACAGTATGAGAAAAGGCAGAATATCGAGAATACGTTTAAAACAAAGTTATTCTCTGCGCGTCTAAGTCTCGGAAAATTATCGAAAATGCTGAGTGAGATCGATTAAAATTATTTCAATTCAGACACATAACGTAGAAAATAAACGACATGAAAATACGATATTTGGTGAATACCCACACATGTCCTAATTTAAAAAATACGCGTTATTTATATATACAGTATTTAAAAATTTATTTGTCCCTAATATGTTTTTAGAAACGAATTTTTTCTTTCTATTCATAAAGCTAATTGAATTTATTCAATCTAACGTTAAGTGTAAAAGTATACGAGAATAGAGAGAGAGAGAGAGAGAGAGAGAGAGAGAGAGAGAGAGAGAGAGAGAGAGAGACAAAACATAGTAAGCTTATAATCATTTATATTAAAATACTATACATGTGATCTAAAAATTTTACTTTTTACACGATAATACAACTGCAAAAAATGACGCATCAGCGTTTTATATGAAATTATCACATGACCGGAAATACATTGAGAACGGATTCTCACGTTATATCCCGTTGGAGATTTAAACTATGTCAGCCGGAAGACGTAATGTTACGCATTTGTCTGACTGCGGCCACAACTCGGACATTGCATCCAGAGCTACCATTCTGATAATCCTCCGGAGCTAATCTTAGCAATAAGGACATGTGTTGAAGATTCTCCGATAAGGACAGACCAAGCTCCTCCAATACGTTACCGAGATAATCTAAGAACATGTATAATTTAACTGTTACTTATCGTTCTTTATTATTTTCTTAAAAATTAAAAGTACAAGAAAAGATTTACCAATGTCAGTTGCGAGCTGTTTGCAAGCAACAGAGTTCAATTGACAAATGCCCAAGGTCTGATCCTGGAACATTTGGCATGTTCCTCGGGCGACGATGTCCAAGAGTATACCGGTAAAACCAGATTCGGTCGATCCTTGAACGTATTGCGGATCGGCTGCCTTCAAGGCTTGCGTCAGACTCGGATTGTCCCTCAAGAAAAACGGTTCCAAGTGCTGCGGCAACGTCATTAAATATTGCCCGACCTGCGTGATGTATTCTTGAGGTGCGAAACTGTAATCGGGCAGATCCGAACTTAGATTGGACATTTTGTCGGCATCCAGCGACCAAGCCGGTGCTTTTTGCACTAACAATAGTTGAGAGAATATTGGAGCAAAGATGACTTCGTACGTCGTGTGATGTAAATCAGAGCAGAGCTTCTGAATAGATTTTATGATCGAATCGAGAATTGTCTTGTCCTCTGCAAAACAAAATTTGATTATTCGAATCAGTGTGTGTTGCATCCTATAATATTATGAATATTATCGCGTTACGTAATATTTATACCTCTTTGGAAAGATGTGACAAGATTTTCTAAATCGGCACATCCTGTTGAAGTTAACAGTAGTTTCTTATACTGACAGAAAACACTATCGTTTGTACTTTGTAATTTGTTATTGGCTTCTGTGATGTCAATCACGAACGATTTTTCGAATTGTTGTACTTGTTGCAAGAGATCGCCTATAACAAGATTGAAATAACTGTTTTATAATATCATACGAGACAATGATAGATGTGATAGGTGATAATCACCTATAGTTTGCATCAAAGTAAGACACATTTGAAATAAGCTCCAGTCTTCATGTTTCACCTTCTTCCGCTCGAGTTGTCTTAGGCCTTGCTGATATTTCTCGAGGTATTTGTTAAAATAAACCTATAAGAAATATCGCGACATCTCATTAACGTAATAAAAAAGACAATTTATAATAATTGCGTTTATATATACAAAAATGTTTAATGTATGTACATACGTTTAATGCTTGCAGTAAACCCGGATATCCACAACCTTCTGTAAAGAGCTTACAACGCTTATTAGCTTCATTGGCGTAACCCATAATCCTCGAAATGCTAAGAGAAAGGGAATTAATGATGTCACTTAAGTCGTCGTGCGAACGATCCAAGAATTGGAGCTGCTGTTCCAACTGCGCGGTTTCAAACGTCTTATACTTTGCAACGTAAGGTACGTAAGGCGCATATATGGCCTGCGCCAGCGACAGTAACTTTTCGTTTTGCAATTTTTCGCGAAGCGACGTTTCGATAGCGCCGCTTAGATTTACAGCAAAATGTCTCGTCATCTGTTTCAATTCGAGTAATATGGACAATTGCGCCGCGTTAGAATGTTGTTTCAGAACCGCCTCTATACATTCTGGAATACCGGGATCGAGACTCTTCAAAAGGTCAGCGTAAACTTCGATGAGAATGTCTATCGAAGTATTGGGAAATACTTGGTGGCACCATTTCACCTTTAACATAAACAGATGACATAGAAAATATTTGCAAAAGCGGCATTAATAACATTTCAATCATAAATAGGCTTAACATGTATACCTGATCATGCCAAGAAGATAATAATTTATCATAGTATGTATGCAGCCAATAGGTAACGTTCTCGTCCTGCGCTAGCTCGATAGTGCGTCTCCATTCTTGTCCTAAAGAGACCTTTAAGCAATTGTGATAGTATTTGAGAAGCTGAGGTAAACGTTCCATCTTGTTAAAAATGTCCACGTAAGTTTTCGATTGCTCTAAACAGAATATAATATTGATCAGATGTATGTGTCTTGAAAAACGACTGAGATGTGTTTTAAAAGATTTTAATAGATCTTACCTAAATTGGCAGCAGTGAAGGCTTGGACTAATCGTGGACTGGCCATTGCCTCGAGACGATTTTTCAAGCCTTCCAACTGCAGCTTTTTATCTTCGTAATCGACGACATTCGCGAGCATAACTAAAGATTTTTGCATGCTGAACAATTTGCTGGATATAGCTTCTATATCACCAGATTCAAATACCTATTTCAACAGAGAAAATTAAGTTTGATATATAATAGCCATGTATCATATTATATGAAGAATATTGTGAAATTTTCATCTACCTCTTCCACATCGTTTGCTAATACTGTCCAATTATCGGCCTCATGCAATCCTTGTTTAGCAGTTTGTAATTCGGTTTTTATCTTGTCAATCTTCTCCAGCATTGCCATGGAAGAGGCTGTGTCCTTCTCAACCTATTTTTTCAACATTTGTAATACATCAATATTCGTTACTCTTGTATAATACAAGAGATATCGATGATTTGGTCTTAAATAAATTAAACGTACCTTGGCAATCTCTTGCTTGACAGCAACCATTTTCTCTCGTAGTGCTAATGTTTCTTGCTGCAGGAGTTGAGTGTCTCTTAAAATTCTTGGCAAGCTGGAGAGAACTGATTGACTAGTCTCCTCTAAGGCACCATTAACTTGTTGTACATATAATTGCAACTTCATCACCAGCGAGGAAACAAAAGCCTGCAAATTAAGATCAATTGTAGCAATAATTCTCAAGATATGTGTTCTTTACACATAAGAAAATTAATGTATAATTGAATAATATAACAAACAAAATAAGATTGATGTATTTTTAACCGCAGTTGTCACATCACAACCATATAACTAGTCATTTCACTTCATTAATATGAATTACTCTTATTTGCAAAATATATATGTGACATTAAAATTTATATGATGTGGAGGCAACACTTTATCATCCAAAGTGCAAAGAAAAATCATCCGCGCGTGATAATTTATTTCCATTAATTAATTAAATTTTATTTAAATTAATTATTTAAATTGTGCGAAGAAAGAGAGAAATATACGATCGCGGGGCGAAATGTAATATCGCAGAGGTAACGTTTTCGATGATAATAATTTCCCGGGCGAGGTCGAAAAATCCCCGTGGCCCAAAATTTCATTCATGAAGCAAGGTGAAAAGGGATCGCGTTTCGTCAAAGGCCGGCCGCACAGTGTCATTGACCGGCGCGGCCGCGCGCGGTGGAAGCCACCAGTAGTTTGGGGGTCGCGATGACGGGCGCGACTCGGAGTTGGAAAGGGCGCGTCGCGAAGACGGGGCTCGAGGGAGGATGATGGCCCGGCCGACTCACGTCCTTGTTCTCCTGCGCCTCGGCGGACTTGAAGGTCCGATTGATCCATTCCTTCACGTCGAAGCTGTCCTCGGAGAACGCGGAGACGTCCTGAAACGTCAATTTTGAGGTTAGAAACGTCACCCGCTCGCCTGTCACCTCGGGTCTCCTTTGGTCGCGACGTTTCCCGATATTCGGCGACCTCGGTATCTCTTTAGTACATGTCACGTCATATTCCGCGCCAAATATCATATCGATCGCTACCATAATACAAACTCGAATGTATACGTCATAGCGTGAGCGAAAACAGGTAGAGAGCGCATAAATAAAAAAAGAATAAAAAAAAAAAAACACCTGCTCCGTCGTCGCTTACCATGACAGCAGAGAGAGAGAGAGAGAGACAGAGTCGGGTAATCCCGGTCAGTAGTCAATATTCCGCGTGTTGACAGTTGACTTGACACTTCACCCGCTTCACCGCCGCCCGGACGTCGCGGAACGCGTCGAGCCGAGTCAAGGTCAGGCTTTATTTCTCGTTCGGTCGCTCGCGTCGTTGTCGTCGTCGTCGTCGTTGCCTCGATATCGCGTCGAGTGGCGCGCGGCACCACGAAGCGTTTAGCTTCGCTCGCGCTGGACGACGGTACACGGTTATTCCGCGGCTACAGTAACACAGGAACGTGCGTGCGTGCGTGCATGTGCGCCGAGGCCTGGGAAAGGGAAAGAGGCGATAAATTCTCGCGGCGGATCGATCGCGCAGTGCATCGTGTCGTGTGCCACGACGGACGAGGATGAGGACGATGAGCGGGAGGAGACGCGTCCTCGCTTTCTAGGTTAGCGCGTATCCAACCTGGGAACGGCCGTTTTCGTCATTTCCGTCGTGCGTGCGGTGCGTCAGGAAAATGCGTCGAGCAGTCTCGATAGTAAGCGATAGGAGGAGAGAGAGAGAGAGAGAGAGTGAGAGAGAATGTATGAAGAATGAGAGAGAGAGAGAGAGAGAGAGATGGGTGCTTTTGTGCGAGTCGTGAACGCGATGAAGCAAGCGACATCCCTCTTTTTCTCGTTATCAGCAATTGTGATAAGGATTGTGTCTCGGATTCCAGACGTTGGTGCCGTTTGCTCGACGAGAGGGCCCGTCGTTGGATGTTGCCGCCAACGCTGCTACCACTACCACCATCAACGCGACCGCCACCTCCATCGTCGCCACCCTTCTCCGCTTCCACTTCCCTTCTCAGACGATCGTGAGTCCCGCGTTCCCGACTGGAGCGAGGCACGTTAACTCGTTTATTCCGCGGCCAGGCTGCTTCCTACTCCGTAGGTGGTGCGTAACGAGGCGGCGAAAAGAAAGAAATAAAATTAAAAAAGAGAGAACCGCGGGGATCGAGGGAAGGAGAGTGAGTGAGAGGAAAGGAGACGGATAAAAAAAGAAAGGGGGTATGTTATCGGCCGTTTCCGGGCCCTTTGTCGATCGCCACGCCTTCGGGACTGCGTTTGCGCCGCGCTGTTTGCGCAACAGTTGGAAGTTGGAATTTCGCCTCCCCGAAAATCAGCCCAAGTAAGGAAGGGAGAGGAATTACGGCTGCCTCTTGTCATCGTCGTGGACGAATATCCAGGAGGAGAGCAGCGACTCGCTGGCTGGCTGGCTGGCTGGCTGGCTGGCTGGCTGGCTGGCTGGCAACCCATCTCTCATCCCCCGTCATCTCGTCCCCCTTCGTTTACAAGTGGGCCGAGACCATCGTCGACATCCGTCCGTGAATCGTGCGCACACATGGCCGATTGCCGTACGTTACATATACACTTGTACGTGATGTACAAGTCCGAAGCTGCGTCCTTCCTTGGCGGCTAATAAGCGAGGCATTCATCATTATTTGACTAACAGGTGTGGGAAATTCATTCAGTTCAGTTCGATCATTTTGTACAGTTTACGAAGAACCCCGTACTAATCGTATGGAAAATCTATCCCGGAAAAATCAATTGGTTTTTTCATATGTTGTGGTTTATGACCTACTGAACAAAAGATGTAATGGGCACAAAGCTCAATAATGGACAGTTATCGAGTTATAATCACTCAAACATGAAAAATTTGGGCTGCCGAATAGTCAAATCTTGGAAAGTATTGATTTTTAGGACAAATGTTTGAAACGAAAATAGGGTTTTACAAAATCTGTTAGCTGGTGACATTATTTTTGAATTGTTCTTCCCTCTAAACACAACTCTAGCTAGAGCCGTCGTCAAGATCATTCAAAATTCAAAAATAATGCCACCAGCTAACAGATTTTGTAAAACCCTGCTATTTTGTTTCAAACATTTGTCCAAAAAATCAATACTTTCCGAGATTTGACTATTCGGCAGCCCGAATTGTTCATGTTTAACTGGTTATATAACTCGATAACTCCATTATTTAGCTTTGTGCCCATTATATCTTTTGTTCTGTACGTCATAAGTTACAACATATGAAAAAACCAATTGATTTTACTGGGATAGATTTTCCATATGATTAGTGCGGGGTTCTTTCTCTCTAATTTACATCTTATTGTATATATATATGTATATATGTGAAAGTTGGTTCTTTTATCAAATTGGCAAGATTATGAGATCGAGATAGTTTAAGAGACGCCTAATGAAACTTGATGAGAAACTCATAGTCGGAAGGAAGCACGCGATTTCCGGGTTTTCTCGTATATCGCGTTAGGTACCTACATATTTGTATATCATTTCATAAGCTAAATTTAACAGCTGATTTGCTCGAATTAACGGAGTTCGAACGAAGGCGTAGTTGCGTGGTGCGACGTTCATTTTGCTTGTCTTTTCCACAATAATGTTTCTTTTTATTTTCCTTCTTAAATGTTCTATCATGCAATTCGTTAATAAATCAAAATTCAATTGTGTACGTGGAAATATTTTTCACATTACTGAAAGCGTCGTCATACGCAACACGCTGCTTCACGCATTTTTTGAGATGCATCCGACGCATTCATACCGAGATCCCATTTTTTACGCATTGTTAAACGTTAAACGCCTTTTTTGCAAAATTATGCGACTTTTTCCATCGAGGTACCCATTTGGCCTATCATTATGCATCAATATACTTACTGATTGCACATTTAGCGACAAAATTGTAAGATTTTTTTTCAACCTACACTCCAATCTGGCATCGCAGATTAATGATCGGCTTTGTTATCCCGATCTTTATCCGATACACTTGTATCGGCGTCGTCGACGTAGATCGATACGCGAATGATAGATAGTAAGAGAAGTCATGGAAAAAAAAAATCACCAGTAAGAATGGCAGCCCCCTTTCTCCTCCCATCCCATTACACGAGACTGCCGTACAATTTGGATATTCAATGGACATTCTTCAATGTCCCTCGAATGTCACACATGTAGCACGTATATCCGGTGGATGTTCTTAAAATCCCGTTTATCTAGATTTCTGAATATTCAGATTCATTTCATTATACCTATTCTACTCTCTTTTCTACTCCGAATATGCATCATGCAAATTGATTATTTAAAATTTATTAATCGTATAATATTTTTCGCAGGAACATGCATGTAGAAAGTCATGAATAACAATGGTAATATACATTAAATTGAGAATTCAGAAAGAACCCCGCATAATTTTATGTAAAATAAATATCGGTTAATCAATTTTTTTTTATCTTATATGTTGTAACTAATAGCCTCTGCGCTATGTTACATGTTTTTTTTTTACAATGAAGTCATAAACTGCAACATGAGAAAACCAGCAGATTATACGAAGATTTAATTTTATATAGGGATTGGTGCAGAATTTTTGAATTTTTATATTGAAATCCTAGATAAAATAAAATCCCAATAAAATCAGCTGACTTCCTCGTATGCTGTAGCTTAAAATCTGAAGAAGAAAATGTATAGTTACTGATCGTAAATCTGTCAAACATGGAAAAACTCGGACTTTGCGAGTTGTTTAACTATAGCTCTAATTCAATAATAGTCCATTATTTAGCTTTGGAGGCTATTGAATCTTTTGTTCGGCAGAGCTACGACATACGAAAAAACTACCTGATTTAATCCATTTTACATAAGATTAGTGCGGGATACTTAAACATCCCAGCGCTGGATATCCGTGCCGAGCTCGGCAGGGCCGATCGACAAAGACACATACGACATGCACACTCACACACATACACGGCAGCCAACGCACTTTCCTCCGTCCGTCGGGTTGTGAGAGACCCGGCAATTCCGCCGCTTCTTCGTCGTCGCGCCATTCGACAATCCGATCGAAGCGCCAGCAATTTTTCCAGAGCGGCGGAATCGCGGAGTCGCCACCCCGATTGCTGTTCTCCGTTGAGCCCCTCGCGCTGCCATGTAGTGCACAACACGATCGGGGCCTGTTGAGAGAAGGGCAGAATGAGCGAAGCATCAGCGGCGGCCTTGAGGCTGAGTAGCAGCCAATCCCAAGCCCCCGCACGCTAAAGGAGGTGGCGCGGGATTGGCTGAACGTTCTTCCAACCGCGACTTCCCGGACGCTTCCGGTCGGGACCAACGCAGCCCGATCCTTGGTGAGTTCAGCGTGCAGGTAACGCCGATTATTCTCTATTTCTTCTTCTTCTTCTTCTTCTTCTTTTACTACTACTATTACTACTTGTACTTGTTTTTCGCCTCTCGCAAGCACTGTTCTCCCAGCACTCCGTTCGAGCAGCAGCGACAGCATCCGAGAATTGCAAGTAGGTGTGCAAAGAGCGCGATTTGTGCGCCGCCGATTTTCCGCTGATTCGGATCCTTCAGAGTCGACGATCGAAAAGCCGAGGTAACTTTGGTGAGTTCAATCTTCGATGCGACAGACTTGGATACTCGCGGGTAAACGAACTTTGACAGATCGTCAAGGTCGGTTTCATATATTTTAACCATAATTTCTAGCCGATTCTTTGTCCTCTGCGAAGAGAAACAAAGAATCGGCGAGAGACAAACTGACGTTATAGCGAAATCGATCTGTAGCATCGGAATCTAAACTCTCAAAGTCCTCGATCTTTCGAGATTGTGCCATAATCACACATTAACACGCGCGCGATAATACGTCTTCTTCCGCAAATGTCGAACGAAAGCATTCTCAATCGATAGTGGTTGTGGCTCTCGATGTTGGACATCGCAAGTCGACTCGGGGCATCGAAATCTCGGTGTAATCTCGACGAGTTCAATTTTCGGTGCGAAACAAATATTCTCTCGGCATCGAAAATACGTGATCTCGGCGAAATTGTACTTTGGGATTTACTCGTGAAAAAAAAAAAGGAAAATACTCGCGGATACAATTGACTGCATAGTCTATTTATCGCGACATTTAATATAAAACAAGATTCTGAACGCAACTCGCCGGTAGCTGTACAGCACAGGAAATCGATCTCTTGTTCTCTCCCCGTCTATTTTTCTTGTTCTTTTTTTTTTTTTTTTTTTTTTAATTTTTTCCTTTTTTTTATATCGTCGAAACGCCACTCGACTTGGCGACTTAATGTACACTCGGCTCTATGTGTTTGCGGCACAGGAAATCGATCTCTTGTCGGCCTCTTTTTTTCTTCTTTTCCTGTGCGCGGAGAAACATGCAGCGTTGCCGATTGCAGGGTGATTTTCGTTGCGATAATTATGAACTGCTGATTCGCTGTTATCATTTTTCCCCCTTTACAACACATACACACGTGCATACACACACACGCACACACACACACACACACACACACACACACACACACACACACACTAACACATAGTCCGGTCTTCGACCTTTGGTGTCGGTCCTCGATTTTTTTTCTTCTATTTTTTTATTTTTTGGAGGCTGCGCTGTGTCACATTCTGCGGCTGCGATACGTTAACATTTGGTCCAGCCGATACACATACATATACACATTATTTCTTTTTCACTCCGGTTTTCCCAGCGCACATGATACCATCGCTTCGGCTATTTGACTGTCCAGCTTGGTTAATTTTATCAAATAAAAAAAAAAAAAAGAAAGAAATGGACCCTCAGACAATTACTCATATAAACTCAGGGGCGAGTACTTGTGGTTAGGGTTGCTGTATTGTATGATATATTATACATATTATATGCGTTAATTATCATCATATATATACATATATGCTCCCAACTGTGCACGTACACTTTCATTATCGGCACTCCCTTGCGGAATGAAAAAGCCTTCTTAGAATATATACACGCTCTGTGTTAAGTAGTGCCGTACCTTTAATCATGTCGACGTGAGTTTACGAGAGTGTGTGGGCGCATCAATAACTCTCAGCTGCATCTGCACTAACGATTCGATCGTAACCGCATCCTTGCAATTTTCGATCCGACCTGAAATCAGGAAATGAATCTCGTCAATTTTTTTCACATTTAAATTATGCGAAAATATACGCCGTCGAATAAGCATCGAGATTGATTTTCGCTATAATTGATAATTTGTGTGTGTGTGTGTGTGGGTGTATCGGTTTCTTTTGAAAAAAAAAAAAAAAAATCACGCGATTCTCGAATCTCCTTCCCGTTTAATCTCGCGACTCGGCGGAACTTTCGGAAGATAATCGTTGGATCTTGATCTAATACTCTTTGCAAGGTAAACGTTTTGGGAAGCAGGAGATGAAACGAATAATTTCTCTTTTAATCTCCTTCGATTCGCGACTTCTACGATGCGATCCGTGGAAACCGCGTCGCTCTCCAAGACGCTTTATTTCTCGTTTTCTTCTCCTTTCCTTCCATTCCATCCTTCTAAGCCAGTTATCTCGATAAGAGAGAAACGCGACATTTTCCCTTTATAAAGATCAAAGAAGGATATATCAAACCAGAATTTCTCGTCGCATTCTTAACCTTTGGAGAATCAAGCGAATTCGCGCAGCTTTAAGATGCGTTTTGTACGCTCAGATTCTTTATTTTTTAAATGATATTCTCTCCCTACTTATTTTTGAACACATTTTTACGAAATATATTTCAACTACAAGTTATTTTTTTATTTATAGGCTATAATATAATATTATAATTGACACAAAAGAAGTTGAAAAAAAAAATTTGGAAAAGATTTGATTATTTATGACAATAATTTATTAAAGCGATTTAATACAATTTCATATAAGTGACTGAGAATTATAAGTGACTCTCGATATAATAATTTAATTATTTAAAAATAATTTGGATAATAGCTTTTTGTTCGAGTAAAACTTTTATCAATTATTTCTTCTAATCATACTTTATTTACGATGACAAATCGATCCAGGGCAAAGTGCATTCGTTCTCGAAAAGTTGAATATCATTTACGAAATTGCGCGTTTCCTGGCCTTCTTCCAGAATCTCGCGAGAGGGATCGAGTCATGCAGGATTTTTTCTTTTTGTTTTTTTTTTTAATTTTTTAAATTTTATTTATATTAAATATGCAAATAAATTCTCCAGTGTATTTATTCCAAAGATCAAACGCTTAATTTTTTTTTAGGTTTCAAGGGGGCCCATGAATCGATTCTAAAGTGCAAAAAAAAAAAAAAAGAGCATCGGGTCCAAAGTAGAAAAATGAAAGCGTACAATCGCGAATCGAACAATCAAACAGAATCCGATCTCTGTCGATCGCGCTCGATCAGCCACTGATAATTTCGCTCGACGATTCCTGGATCATAATTCTGATCGACGATCGGGAATGTCCGTTTCATTAGTAATGCATCGGGGAAGTCTCTCGGAGGAATGCTCCGCGACGAAATTTGGAGTAATCAAAGTGGTTTGAAACGAGAGCCGCTCCGAATTTGTCCACACGATTGTCAGACACACGACGTCCCATTTCCGACATAGTTTTCAATCTTCGCCGTCGTAAATGCTCAACCTTGAAATTAAATTCCTGCTGAAGTCTCCACCGCGTAGAATAACATCGCGTTATCCGCTTACGCTCTCGAAGCTTTAACTGCCCACTACGCTTTTCAACGCTGACAATGAGTAATTCTCGAGTGACGCATGCTCTCTCACTCGCTAAATAACAGAAAGACGACCGCGTTGCAAAACGAGATCGATCTGAAGAAAAAAAAAAAAAAAAAGGAGAAATAAGAATATCGCGACCCGAGTACAGTTAGATAAATATGCAGACCGCGATCTTCTCACGAGATCCCGATTCGGTCGTCCAATTAAACGAGACCGAGACGCGCATTATATTGTTCAGCCGAATGTAAAATATCGTTAACCCGTTTAATTGCCGCCCGCGCGTTTGTGCATCGGATAGAGGAGAGGAAGATTCGCGCGAACGTCCGAATGAATTTATTCGAAGGCAACGGGAGAAGAAGAGGCATAGCGAGGGAGAGACCTATGCCGAGTCGAGAGCGGCGCGTTTCTGAGAAAATAAACTCTCCCGCGCCGGGGCCTTCTCTTCTCTCGCCCAGACTTCCTCCGAGACGAGTCCTCCTCTTCCTTGAAACCGATCGGTCTCTTCTTTCTCTCTATATGTATATATATATATATATATATAATATAGACTATATATCTCCCTCTCTCTCTACGACTGTTCGCGATGTCGGATTACGAGAGAGAGAAAGAGAGAGAGAGAGAAGCCGACTGTGCGCGATTCGCTTCGCGGGAGAATAACGGGGAAAAAAACGAAAGGAAAAAGTGGTAGATGCATCGGGGGAGGAGGGGAGAAAAAAAGGAGAGGGCGAATGGGATATCGAATATTCTTTTATTTTTTTAAATTTTTTTCCTTTGCTTCGCAGCCCCTTCTCTTGCCTCCTCGCACGCGTATATTGATTTTTAGAAATTCCTCGCGAGACGGGCGACCGGAGCGCGCGAAGCGCATCGGCCGAAGAAACGGGGGACCGCGAGGGGGGAGGAAGAAGCGCGAGCCACCCACGATCGCCTTAGGGCGAGCGAGCGAGCGAGCGAGCGAGCGGATATTCTCGACGAGGGAACCTCCCTTGTTCGTTAAATCTCGTTCCTTATCATTTTTTGACAGCGGACATGTGGTGACGTCACTAAATTATGTCAAAAATACGCGTCGCGTATATAATAACATTACACCATCACAGTGCACGCGACGTCATTTTATATATACAATTATACATATAAAATTATATATATATATATATATAATACAATACATGTATATAATTAAATGTTAATTTTTGTGATTAGCAGGGAGAATTTCGCGACGCGTTAGGCGCGCGCGACGGCCCTGCGATCGGGAGCAATCGGTCGTAGTCGGAATTATTCGAGCGCGCAGAGACTGTTGAACACCCGCGAGAGAGAGAGAGTTGGAGTGGGGGTAAGCGCGCTCGCCCCTCCATCCCTACTTCGCGCGGCATCGCTTCCCCCACCTTCAGTCGCGGCCGAGCCGTCGTCTCTCTCGCGCCGACGATCGCTTTCTCCCGTTTACCCCGCCCCGCGTCTTTCCAGCCCCCGTCTCGCGCTCGCTCCCTCTCCCACCGTCTCGCGGCCGTCTCGCTCGCACGTCCTAGCTCATTCCGCTCCGTTCTTAACGTCAAACCACTTAGGGCCGCGGACCTCGACAGTCAGTCAGTCAGTGAGTCGATCTTTTCAGGCGGCGGGTATCTCCCGGCA